GTCCCTCTCAATTAGGACTCTCCTAGCTAGAGTCCTAACAGACCCCCGCCCTCTTCAAATCAGCCTTATCCTCGAAGTTGACGATTCATGAATTTTGGGAATTTGATCTTCAAATCGTCATAGTTCTCCCAAGTGGCATCTTTTGTTGGTAGGTTCACCCATTGTATTAGCACTTTAGTAGTGGGTCGTTGTCGTCGAGTCACGATCCGTCGATCAATAATGGCACTTGGTTGGGTCTGGAGTTCTCCTTGGATAGTCATATTTGGTGGGTAGCTTTGGGCTGTCTCCAAGCATCTACTTACAACTTTTGTCTGGCCGTCGATTTGTGGGTGATATGCCATACTCCTTTTCAATTTAGTACCCTGCATATGGAATAACTTTATCCAAAATCTACTCGTGAAGATGCAAGTAGAATTTATCATAAGCACAATGCGTCCCTTATAGTGTAATTCTTTTGAGTCCCAATTGTAACGAGCCACGGAGCTTGGTTCTTCCTCCAATTTTTTTATAATCTTACTAGTCTCTGAATCTTCCTGTCATTCCATCTTAATATCCTCAAGGAGGTCGCTGGTCGAAAGTGAAACGGTTGAAACTTCAGCTTGCTCGGGTAACTACGAAAGCGCATCTGCAAGAATATTCTCTTTCCTCTTTTTGTAAGTTATTTCATAATCAAATCTAAGAAGTTTTGTTACCCATTTTTGCTGCTCAGGGGATGATATCTGTCGCTCCAAAAAATACTTGAGGCTTTTATGGTCGGTTTTAATTTAAAATCGTCGACCAATCAAGTAGGGTCTCCACCTCGTTGTTGCGCGCACAATGGCGAGCATCTTCTTATCATATATTGACTTATTTTGATGAGAGGGAGATAATGTCTTGCTAGTGTATGCGAGTGGTCGACCATCTTGCATGAGAATGGCTCCAATTCCGACTCTAGATGCGTCGGCCTCAATAATGAAGGGTCGGTTGAAATCTGGTAGTGTTAGCACCGGCGTCGTCGTCATGACTGCCTTAAGTTTGTCGAAGGAAGTGGAGGCTCTATCCAACCATTGGAAGACATCTTTTTCCAGTAAGGAAGTAAGTGGTGCATTGATCTTTCCATAGTTTTTCATGAACTTGCGGTAGAAGCCTGTTAAACCCAGAAAGCCATGTAGCAATTTTATGTTTCTCGGGGTCGGCTAGTTTTGCATTTCTCCAAATTTGAAGGGGTCCACTGCCACACCTTCCTCTGATATGATATGCCCAAGATATTCCACCTTCTATTGAAGAAAGCAAAAATTCGTAGTGGTTGTTGTGTGTTCAAAAGGTGGTTTTCGGTATGTTTTCTTCGCACGCTCGTATTTGATGATACCCGGATCAAAGGTCCAGCTTTGTAAAGATTTGTGCTCCCTTTCATCTAGCAATTGATCTACTATTGGAATAAGGTATTTGTCCTTGATGGTTATGCCATTGAGAGCTCGGTAATCAACACATATTCGCCTTGTTCCATCCTTCTTGCATACAAATAGCACTGGTGAAGAGTAGAGGTTGCAACTTGGCCGAATAACTCCTATTTTGAGCATCTCTTTTACAATCCTTTCTATTTCATCCTTCTGGAGATGTGGATACTGATATGGCTGAGCATTTGCTGAAGATTTGCTTGGAAAGATCGTTATACAATGATCATGCCGACGGGTAAGAGGTAGGTTGCGCGGTTCGTCAAATATATTTGAAAATTCAGTAAGCAAAGGAAGTAGATTTAGATCTTCAAATTCTGTTGGCTCTCCCTTAGTTTGCTGCTCAAGTTGTACCAAAAAGCCACTGCATGCTTTATGCAAAACCTTCTCCATTTGTTGTGTGCAAATCGTTGTTATGTCACCCCCACGTTTCTCGTGCAATGTCACCTGTTTCTCCTTACTGTAAAATTTCATAATTAGTTTCATAAAATTCCAGGAAATATCACCTAATGTCATCAACCATTTAATTCTGAGCATGGCCTCATGATTGTTAAGAGGGAGAAGGAAGAAATCTGTAATTATCTCTTGGTCCTACAACAATAGTTTCTCCTGCGGGCACCTACGATCACAATTCAAAATCCGTCCGTCGGTGACCTTAACATCAAACCTGCAGCGATTCTCGATAGGTAATGCTATCCAAATAGCAAGCTTACTATTTAGGAAGTTAGTAGTACTGCCCGTGTCGATGAGAACAGTGATCGGTTGTTGTTTGAGAAGGCCTCCAACTTTCATCGTTTGCAGGTTTGAGTAGCCGGCTAGTGCGTGTACTGTAACGTCAGTCGGTTGTGGCTCTTCTTTCGCATCTTCTTTATATTCAAGGTTCTTTTCTGAATGTTCAATGACCTCTTCTTTTATTGGTTCAATCATAAGAAGTCTTCCTTTCATCATTTGCGGGTTTGAGTAGCCAGCTAGTGTGTGTACTGTAACATCGGTCGGTTGTGGCTCTTCTTCCGCATCTTCTTCGTTATGTTTAAGGCTCTCTTTTGAATGCTCAATGACCTCTTCTTCTACTGGTTCAATCAAAAGAAGTCTCCCTTTTCTACAGCAATGCTTGTAACTCCATGGCTCGTCGCAATGCCAACATAACTGCTTCACAAATTGCTCCTGAAGCTCTTCTCTTATCAACTTCTTTAGTGCAAGGACTCGATCGACAGTAGGGGGAGCTGAGGGCTTCAGTATTTCTGGTTGAGGAGCAACTCTAGTCCTCCAAGCTTCATGATTCAATCGCTCCTCTTGATGTCGTACGAAAGAGATGACTACCATAAGCGTGTACGGTTGTCACGCTTTAACTTCTCCCCGGATCTTTGGCTTCAAGCCCTCAATGAAGGTCGTCAATAGCTGTTTTTGAGACCAATCATGAGTTTGATTAGATAACCTTTCAAACCTGGTTTGGTACTCCTGAATGGTGGAGGTTTGTCGGATCTTTGCTAATTGTCTGTCAATATTCTCGTAATCGGTTGGTCTGAAACGGATCAGCAATCCTTCTTATGGCATCCCCTGTATGGCATCCCCTTCAAGATGTATAGTTGTAATTTTCACCATAGATGCGTCCGCGGTTTTGTGGTACCAAAAATATCGCTCCGCACGCAAAATCTAACCAATCGGGTCTCCTTCTTCCCATCTAGGGAAGTCCACCCTCATGCGTGGATAGTTAGGATCGATCATAGAACCTCCCCTCTTTTGGAAGTCATCTCTTCGGGCTTGGTGCGATTGGGCAGAGCTCTCTCCTTGATGTGATTTCTTTGGGCTTAGTGGTTGGCCCAATCTGAGTTCAGTAAAGAGTGTCCGAATCGTATCCTCCATTCGTGCCTCAAAGGCTTCGAATTTATCATTGATTGCCTCCTCAGATGTCATAGTATATGCCTCCAAATCTGTGATGTTATGATATCTCTTTTGTTGTCGGGTTAAAGGCGTGTATAGGTTGAGAGAGGTGATGGTCGAAAGGGTTGGTGGATTGGTAGATGTAGGTTGTTGTTTAGGCTTGTTTTGTGGCTGTTTTGGGTGTAGTTTGAGGGTGTGGTTTAGTGGAGTTTTAGGGCTGTGGATGAAAGTTTTAGATCTGTGGTAGATGGCAGCAAAGGTTTGATAGAAATCAGTGGAAGTTGCTGCAAGTATGTGCTATCTTGTAAGAGCAGAATTGTCGTCGAAGATGTAGCAGTTTCTCGATGAAATTTCCACCAAAAACTTGAGAGATTTGAGGAGGAAATTGATAGAAAAATCATAGTTTATATGATAGCAAGGATCTCTAATTTAATCAGGAAAATTTCGGCAGTATAACAGTAAGGAAATTGGTGCAAGCTGCGATAGCAGAATTCTTATCGAAAAATTTTAGCGGTTTGGGACGAAAATTTATAGAAACACAAAATCATTTTTAGAGATGAATTCCTCTATAGATCAATTTTAGATGGAAGCAAAGATGATTTATGAAGTGTATAATAAATTTCATTCAAAAAAAATTACAAATAGATGGGTTAAGGCAACAATATGCGGCTGAAATTTTCTGCAGCATAGATTTTCAAGTATAGCAGATTGGACATAAAAGATTAGTAGTTTATATTGAGAATTTTTCGATGAAACCAAAGGGAAATCTACTGTTAGGAAGTGTCAAAGCTATCATAAAAATTTCGTAGAGATTTGGATAGAAAAAATATTGTAT